CTGTGGGGGGGTAGGTGGGTAGCGTAGGGTAGAGGTGGGTGCTCTGGGCACGAGTGGGTGCTGGGGCGGGTGAGTGGGTGCTGTGGGATGCAGGTGGGTGCTGGAGCACAGGTGGGTGCTGTGGTCACGGGTGGGAGCTGTGGGGTGCAGGTGAGCACTGCAGGGTTGATCTCAGCGTGGCTGGGAGCTGTAGGGCACAATGAGGGGGGTTGTGGGGTGCAGGTGGGTGCTTTGGGTACTGATAGGTGCCATGGAGTGAAAAGGGGTTTTCCCCCCATCCCCTATTGTTGCCAGCAGAGCTGGGGGCAGCAGGATTTGGGCAGTTCCAGGCCCTGACCTGGTCACTGGGCACAGGGGAGTGGAGAAGCTGGGGGGGCCCCAGCACTGTGGAGGTCCCAGGGTGCTGAGTGGGATCTGGTTTTACTCAACACTGTGCTCCCATCTCGTGTCTGGGGTCCCCTGGGGCAGAGGTTTGTGGTACCACATGTTGGGGGGGGGGGGCAAGTGCTGCTTCTGGGGTCCCCATCCTGCCTTTGGGGAGGCTGGAGCATCCATGGGGAAAGGCCAGGTTCTCAGCCAGCAGGGAGATCAGTCTAAATCTGTCCCTGACTTGGGTTCGGTGCCAAAAAAACCATTATGGAGCAGAAGAGGATTTATTCCCACGCTGGGAGGGCCAGGAGGTGGGGCCTGGGTCCCGCAGAACTCCCCAGGGAGGAGAGGATTGGGCCTGATGCGGCCCCTGGGGCTGGGAGAGTCTGAATGCTGCTGATGGCATGGGTGGACTGGGAGCAGCTTTAAGGGGATTTCTACTCCTAAAATAGGGGAGTGGGGAACAGCTGGACATTGGGCTGTGGGCACCAGGGATCCTCTGGCTTTGGAGATCCTTCTGTAACCAGCATTGCCAGCTGTGCCAAGTGGTGGTGCAGGAAGCATCCCTAGTCCTCACCCTCCCCATCCTCCCCATCCCGGTTTTGAGGGCACCCCTGGGCTCAATCCCCAGTGGGACAGGGGAGGTCCCCTCAGGAAGGACAAATCCGAACCCATTGGATCCCATGCCCAACCCTCCCTCCAAACTGCCAAATAACGATGACAGCAGTGCTAATAAAAAATCAATAACCATTTATTCGATACAGCTGTTTCATACATACAGTACAGGGAGCGCCTCCGCGGGGGCTCAGCTGCTCGGACAGTACTCTCCAACTGAGGATTTGTCAATGATTAACAAAAGAACAGATCGTCACAAATCGGGAGTTTATTATAAGATAGTTTACCGTTAAAACAATTTTATTTTTTTTTTTTGCAAATAAACACTTTTTAATATATATATTTATATATTTATATATATGGTTACAAGTGATAAATTGAAAATTCTTTTTTTTTTTTCTCCTATTTTTTTTTTAATGTTTTCGTTTTTTCCCCAAAATACACTTATGCACTAATAACTGGCATCGACGAGAAACATTCGGATATGCCGTGGGATGGGTGTCACGAGGAGAGAAAGAAAAGAACAAAACGCTCCCAAGGTTCCTGGGTGTGAGAGATGCTCCAGGCCCAGGCAGCTCCATCCACTGTGGCTGGATTTGGCCCTCGCTTCCTGCCTAGAGCCGGCGCAGCACAGCCACCCTCACCGGGGTGTGGTGTCAGTGCCAGGGGTTCCTCAGCCACAGCAGCCCCCTGGGACTGAAGTTTTCCATGAGGTCTTCCCTCAGGGGGATGTGCCCATCCCTCTGGATCAAGGTGGTTTCCCAGCTGGCGCTGCCTCGCTGGGAGCACCTGAAGGGGCACAACCCGCCGGCCCCAGCAATGCCACTGTGGTGTCACTCAGCCCAGCCCACTCGCCGGCAGCTGCTGGTGATCTGAAGATTTCACTTTCTCATGGGAATTCCCAACTGACCACAGTGCTGCCCTCACCGGGGCTGTGAGCGTTTCCCAGGTCTGAGGGTGAGAAGGAGAGCACCAGGACCGCAGCTCCTGCTGCCGACCCTAAGACCCCAGATGGTCCCTGGGGTCCCCTCCAGGTTGGTGTCACTCTGTGATGCCACCACAGCTGTCCCTGCTCCCCTCAGGACGGTCCTTTGCAGACACTCTTGTTAAAGAAGCAGAGGTTGGGTTTTGATGTGGACTCCATGACAACCCCCCAGGCTGGCCCTTCCCGGGGTCTCCCCTGCCCTGAGCAGCTCCCAGGGCTCCCCCCTCATGGAGCACAGTGCTGCCTGTTAATTTAATCAACGAGAAGCCAATTAATTGCACATTAATGAGAACGGAGCCCCGGGGCTGTGCACAAGGCGAGGCGCTGGGGATTGTGTGGTGACCGTCCAAGCCAGCAGCCTGGGCCACCTGGGTTGCCCCTCCCTGGGTCAGGGCACGAAGCTTTCCCGAGGGCTTTCTTCCATAATGGGATGTGATTTTGGGATGCAACAGCTCCCTCTGCCCCTTTGCAGAGATTTCAGTGCCAGGTCCCCATCTCTGCCCACTGTCCCCTTCCTGCTCCTGCCGGCCTCCCCAGCAGCCCCAGTGTGCCCCCCAAACACCCTCCTGGGATGGGGGGGTCACTGCCCTCCCAGCCATTGTGGTTTTGGTGAGGGCACACAGGCTCAGCACAAGAGAATGCCACTGCCAGGACAGCACCAACACGTCCCTGTCGTGACAAACAGCGAGCAGCCCCAAGCGTGCACATCCTACACTCCCCTGGAGCTCCCCCATTTTCCCAGAGAAGCAGGATCTACCCCGGTGACACCATCCAAACACAGGTCCGATGAAGAGCAAGCGGTGACCAGCCTGTGCCGCAGTGACTAATTAGGCTTTCTTCCTAATTGCGTCGAGGCTCGGCGCAGCCAGCAGTGCTCCAGCATGTTCCCTCACCTGCAGGCACCTGCCCAGCTCGCTGGGCAATGCAGAGCATGGATCAAGGGGCTGGAGCTGTGGACAGAGCAGGAGACCTGGCTCCCCGAGAAGCTGCCCTGGCTTCAGCCCCCACTGACCCCTCTCCCTGCCCGGCTGGAATAACCTGCCAGTGGAGGATGTTAATTATGACTGAGCCGCTGCTCGAAGCCAGGGAATGATCCCGAGCCTCTAGCGGGCAGCAAGGAGCAGCGACTCCTCGGAAAACGAGGATTGAGGTTTGAACTGATTAAAGCAAAAGCAGAAGCTCTCCCTCCGATGCCACTTTCCTGGCTCTGCATAGGGAAAAAATCGAATTAAGGTTTTCTGTTCCGTTACCGAGAGGAAACGTGCTTGTTTCCCAAGGACCGAGGTAGCCTGGTTTTGTCTGGAGACGGATATGTCCTGGTCCAGGGAGGGTTCCCTCTGGGCTGGAGCTGGAGGTGTGATGACCATGTCAACACAGGTGCAAAGAAGAGCCCAGGGGGAAGAGCACAAGCAGGGACAGCACCACAGGGACCTCCCATCCCGGGGGGATGATCGGGGGCTCAGATGCATCTTTGGGAGCAGAGACTCCCCCCACAGCGGGTCCTGGCCCAGAGGGACAAGGGGAGCAGGAGGTGCCTGGGCAGCGGCTGGGCTCGCCCCAAAGCAGGACCCGTGATTGTCACTTGACGCTGCCCCTGTCCCATCACACACCTCCCACGGCTGCAGCTGGGGAACCGAACCCCACTCCTCCCTCCGGTGTGATTGGGTAGAGCACAATGGGACCCTGAATCACCCTTGGATGCCCCCCAGGCCAGGGGGGCAGGCTGATGGCTGCCATCTCCCCCTGACCCTGGCACTGCCAGCTGCGTTCGCGAACACAACTCGAGCACCGAGGCACAGCTCCCTCCCTGTGCCCCCTCCGTGGTCGCACTGCCACGCTCCATGGTGCCCACAACATTCCCCCAACTTTCCATTAAACCCTCCAACCCGGCCAGCCCCACCTCCCGCTCTTGCCCCCTGCACCCCCAGCCCCACGTTCCCTGCTCCCTTCTCTGCCTGTGCCGCCCAGACAAACCCTGCCAGGCCGACACCCCATGGAGCTGATCCCTGCCAAGCACGTTCTCCCTCAACCTGAGGCTGTGGGGAAAGTACTGCCGACCCCACCAGCAATCGCTGCCGGACCCTCTGCCCGACCAGGTCAAACATCTTTGGAAACATCGCCCTGGAGCTGGAAGGTTGGGGCCCGCTGGAGGCTGCCGGGCAGGCGGGCAGCTCCCTGCCTCGGCACGCAGCTGCTGGTGGAGGGTCCCCGTTCACGGGACCCGCTGCTATTGCACTTCTCTTTCACTCAAGCGTCACCAGTTTGGTGCAGGGGAGGGGAATCACGGGCTGGGGGAGGCAGCGGGGTCCCACCGAGGGGTATGTACATAGGCAGGGGGTGGAGAATGGTCCAGCTTCCTTGATCCTGTTTGTTTTCCAGTGTGAAACAAGGTCCGTGACTTTAGTTTAAAGTGGTTAATTGGTATTTTTCTGTCTTTTTTTTTTTTCTTTTTTTCCTTTCTTTTTGTAAAAAGAGGGTGAGAGGAGGGTGGGGGAAAGGGAGGTGGGATGGGAAGGAGAGGACATAAAACCGGGAGAGACCCCCACCCTGTTACCCTGGGCTGTAAACGAATCCTCGGACACAAGTCTCTGAGCTGCTCATTTCTCAGGCATCTTGCTGGCTCCTCCCTTCCGCTGGCTCGGGGGCTTGGGGACATGCTCGTCCCCCTTGGGGCTGCCCCGGGAGCCTTCCCAGTGCTCGAGGGTTTTCTTGTGATTAGTCTTTGCTGCCATGCTTTCTTTGCCCTTCGGAGGCATTTCTGGAGGCCTCTCCTTGGGTTTCCTCCCTCTTTTCTTCCCGTTTGTGCTTTTCTTTTTCTCCTCTTTGCTGGAAGAAAGCTGTTCCCTGTTTTTCTTTTTCCGGCTGGCCTCTGAGGAGGTTCTGAACCAGTTCTGTGTCCGTGGGGTGACACAGGGGTTAGTGACTGTCCAAAGGCCAGGCACTGGCACCGGCACCAGCACACACAACCCGAGCCTGGCCCGCCCCACACCCCACCAGCATCACCTCCCCAGGACAAACTGCTCAGCCTGGGGGTTTTGGGGAAACCAAGGGGGATAGGGAGGACCCCCCACGGCTGTCACAGCATCGCTGATGCTGCTGGGAGCTGCTGCCGAGCTCACAGATGGATGGATGGATGGATGGATGGATGGATGGATGGATGGATGGATGGATGGAAGGGACAGCCCAAGGATAGGCACTTCGGAGGGGGGACCAGCCCAGCCCAGCTCCAGCTGCTTCCTTACCTCCGAGTGAGCCTTGATGATGTGGTACTTGACACCGCTCTCGGAGCTGAACTCCTTCTGGCACAGGAGGCAGCGGTACTTGCCCACCAAGTGGTCTCCCTGCAAGACAGAGCAGCCTCCTGCAGAGCCAGAAGTGGCCCAGAGGGGCGGCCCCCCAGGCCCTGGCCCTGACTCCCCTGTGACCTCAAAGTGACACAAAATAAACACTTATGTCTAAAGCACCAGATCTCTGCTGGCCTTGGTGCCAGGCCAGGAGCTCACAGCCACATCTTCCCTCTGATCTTCAGCCCGTGCTGCAGCCTTGTGTGTCCCCAGGGCCACCACAGACATCAGGTGTGTCCTGGGGCTGACGGGGCCATCACCCTGTGTCCTCACTGTCAACAGATCCGTGCTCTCCCAGGACTGAAGCACCATCAGATTTATGTCCAACACTCACCTAATTTTCCTTTTACGCTGTCAAAGAGCCACAGTGACTGCTGGATTCCTGTCATCAGAGCCCTGGTGGGATGACGGATCCCCCGGCTCTGCCGCAGGTCACGGCACACGAGAGATAATGTGCTCTCTCTTGACGAGGGGGTTATGGATGGGCCCCTCCAGGCAATATATTTCCTCCCTGGGAATTTCTCTGTAGCTGTAAATCTGGAGTTAGATGGGTCTCTCATTTCAGGAGAGGACAGGGCTGGCCACGCTACAGGCTGGCTTCAGGAATACTCATGCAAAATCATCTTGGAGCATCAATCCCCACTGAGGGTGGGGTGCTGCCTGGGAGCAGCCTCTGCTCTCGCTCAGGCTTGATGTATTGCAACCAGCTCTGCAGGATTTTACAGCAGGAATCATAGGCCAGCTCTGGAGGGGTTATGATTCCTTTATGCCCAATTTAGTGGCACATGTAACCAAACTAAATCCTCGGGAAGGGGAAGAATCAAACTGATGGCGGTGTGGGAGTCACATAGCAGGAATTCCCCCAGTGCTGACCCCCCCAGCACCCAGCCCCAGCTGTGCCAGATACAGAGTGTGCAGCTCTGTGGCTCATGGAAATGCTCATGCAGATCCTGGCAGCTTCCTGTGCATGGAACCAGCCACAAACCAGCTCCATTTTCCCTTGGACAGCAGAGGAGCTGCCCCAGTCTCCTGTGTTTGCTCTTTTATCCTGCATAAATCCAGCTTCTCCTGCTGGATCTCTGCAGCCCATTTTCTAAATGATCTCATTAAGGGCTGCTGTTCCAGCTAGCGCTGGGGGAGTGCAGGAGTTGGTGTTTTTAATAACCATGGGATATGGATTGGAGCTGCCTCCTGGAAGCTCCATTCAATGGAAGCTGCAGCTGGAAACGTTTCAGGGTATAAAGCTTTCGCAGCTCTTACTCAGTTCCAATTTGAGGGACCTACTCTGAGCTCCCTCTCCCTCCCCTGTGGCAGCTGCAAGGCCACTGGAGCTCAGGGCTGCTCCCTCAGGCAGGAGGGCACTGCTCTCTGCATGGACCGGCCGCCTCTTCCAGCCTCAGCTCATCCCAGGAGGCACCACAACAGCATCCCTCCAGCTGGGCTTCCAGAGGGGTTGCAGGGCTGCCTAAATCAATGGAGGAAGACTCCTGACTCCCAGGGAACATTCAGTTTCCAACACCCAGCTCCTTGGCTCTGAGGTGCTGGGGCTGATGTGTGGCTGTGTGAGCTGCTGGCCATGTTGGGTAATCAAGGGTTCCTGAATGATTTAGGGGGCTGCAGGAACCAGCTGGGCAAGGGCTACTGAGGGATTGGGAGGGCATGAGGCAGGAGGGCTGTATCCCTGAGACTCTCCATGTGTTAGAGGTCTTGGCTCTTGAGGGACATGTTTGTGTTGTGGGACCTGTGATCCACAGCTGAGACGGCAGCTACATTCCCTCCCTCCCGTCTGCTCTGCTCGAGCCTCTCAACCTGTGCATTGTCCCTTGGCCTGTGCCTTCCAAAGCAGCTGGGAGGGAAGAGAAAACCAAACCCCAAAGCCACCTCTGAGACAAGGGTGTAAAAGGAGGGACCCACCTTGTTGCAGTTGGCCAGGTGAGCTTTCAGCCCCGAGACGCTGGAGTAAATGGCTTCACAGAACTGCAGGAAGAAATAAAGCAGGGTTAGACATGATCCCCCCTCATCTGCCTTCCTCTGAGCCGGGGCCAGGAGCCCGCTGAGCCAGCACAGCCACCGGTCCAGGCTGAGCAGTGTGAGGTTAATGCTCTGCGAGGCGCCGAGGGCTCTGGTCACACGTTTCCTATTAGTGCTAATGGGAGTCATGTGGCCACATCCCTCTGCAACAGGCTGAAAAACGTCTCCCCTAAATGTCTCCGTGGAAAACGGTACATTTGCGAGCTGTCAGGAGGTCCTGCTGGGCTACAGGAGTTCTTGGAGCCACAGCAGAGGCTTAACGGAGAGGAGAAATCACCCAGGCAGCAGCATGACCAGTTTCTGAGCAACCGTCTTTTTCAAGTGCCTGTGTATGACATTAATTAGCCAGCCTGGCTCCCCCGGCCTTGCGGGAACAGCCTCCTTCAGAACTCCCATTAGCAGGGCTTTGTTTGGGAGGATAAATCCAGGCCCAGCACCAGGGTGGGGTTCACCTCCCCGCCAGCTCAGGCCAAGACTCTTTCACAGAGAGATGAAGTGCATGCACCATGCCCTGAGGCTGCTGCCTGTCGCAGGGCTTTAAAAAGCTTGGCTTAAATCCAGCCCAGCTTAACTCTGGGAAAAGCAGGTTCTTTGCATGAAAAGGCTCCTGAGCACAAGATGCACAGCCCTTGCCCCCATCTGGATCTCGGGAGCTTCCCAAAGGCAGCTCCAGAGCCTGAACTGGGCAATGCTGAACCATCAGCCCAGTCCTCAAGGCTGAGCACACCAGGAGGACCCCAAAGGTGGGACATACTTTAACCAGGCATGGCAGCAAGCCCAGGGAAAGGAGGTGAAAGGAGTGTCTGAGCATCACTGCCCCCCAAACTTCCCCTTCCTCCTGCTGAGACCAGCTAGCCTGTGGCAGAACAGAGACAGTGCTTACATTGTTGGGACAGTTGATGCGGCCCTTCTCCTTCACTTCGTTCTTCCAGTTTTCCACCAGCCTGGGATTGAGCTTTGGAAGCCCTGGTCGGGTGTAATTGAGCTGTGAACAATAGCAGAGGATTAGCAGAGCTGCATACCCCAGCCCGGTCCGTGGTGGAGTCCTGCCTCTTCACAAGGGTCTTGTCCCCACCCGAAGTGAATCGGAGCTGAAAACTACTTGTGGGGCTTCCCCCAGAGATGCCATTCCCCTCCCCGGGCACTGCAGAGCACAGGGGCGGCTCTGCCCACTGCTGTGCCACCAGTGAGGAGTCCCCAGCAAACAGGAGAGGGGAGGCTCCTGCTCTGCTCTCAGGTCCATGCCCAGCTGCAGGGCCAGGCCCGGCGTTTTCGGTGCCCGGTGTCGGCACAGTCCTTCTGCCGTGTTTCGTAACCGGGGGAATAAACAACCCTGCACACTGGGCAGAGGGGACACAGCCAGGAGCCTCCATGGCTGCCTTCCACGGATGAATGGGCACAACCCGTCAAACAATGAAAGGCTCTTGTGCCTCTGCCTCTCCTTCTGGCAGGGCTGCTCCTTCCAAGTGCTTTTAATTACTGCCTTATTAACGACTTTGAGGGGTAGCATAGCAGGCCGGCCTTCCCAACTCCAGTTCTGCATGTTCAGCACAAGTCAAGGCTGCAGCTCGGGGCATTTCTGTGCCTCCTGGTCGCTGTGCCTGGTCCCACCTGTGGGCTTGGTCCCAGCCTGACACTGTGCCACTGTGCCCAGGTCTGCAGGGGACACCAGCCTGCACGACCCCCAGCCTGCCCTGGTGAGCTCTGCTAGAGCCGATGGATGTTGTTTGGGTCTCAAGCCCCACACTTGCCCCGAGGGGGAGCAGTGCTGGGTGAGCCCACAGATGACACGGTGCAGGCGTGGGTACCTGAGCATGTGCCACTCTCCATGGGCACCTCCAAGCCTGGGGCATGGACGCATCCCTGGATGGAGAGGACGCACAGCCAAACGGCGCTCGCAGAGGTGCAAACCCAGGAGCTGTTTTTAAAACGTTCCCCGAGGACCCGGAGCTGGTTGGTTCAGAGGCAGCGGGAAGCTGGCTGGATTTCTTTTCCAGCTGTGACTTTTCCTGAACACGCTGATAAAGTTGCAAATCTGCCTTTGTCCAGCTCTCCCCGCCCCCCCCCCCAGCTGTTCCCAAACCTCCCAGCAAAGGGAAGCTCGGGATGTGGAGGGCTCAGATGCCAACTGCTCATTTCCACTCAAACTGAAGTGATCTGTGTGCCCTTGCTGCCTTCCCCCTGGCACGTGGCGGGGCACAGCCAGAGCAGGGAGCCCGTGGAGCGCTGGGCTCCACGCGAGGGGCAGGGGCACAGGGCCTTGCGACACGGCGCCGTCAACGCTGGTACAGACGGATGTGGATGTGGAAAACTCCCCCGAGCCCCAGCATGCTCCTATTCTGTCGTGCTTCGCGGCTGGGGGAGATGCCAGCAGAGCTCTTTGAAGCCCTGGGATAGTGCATCTTTACCAAGCGCTTGGTCCCCCACCCGGGGGAGGCAATGCCACCTCCAGGGGAGAACACAGGAGTCCCTCTCTGCCATTGATACTGAGAGCCAGGATGCCAAACGGCCTCCATAATTAAAAACCAATCAATCCCATGAATGAGCAAACATTAATGGTAACCGCACACAGCCCCAGCAACAACCTCTCCCTCCGCACGTCCCTGGGGAGGAGGCGAGGGGGGAGGTTCAGAGATGTGGACTCTGCTGCTCTGCTTTCCCACTCCAGAGAAAAATCCCTCCCCGCTCTCCTCCAACAGCCCTGCACAATAACATGCAAATCCCATGTCTTCCCGGGGCGCTGCGGTTCTGGGAATGTCAAAGTCATCTTTATGTCTCTATTAAGAGGGAGCCCCAGGCATGGAATATTTTATATTTTTTTTCTTTTCCATTTATTTTCCTCAAACAGCCTGTAAGTGAAAATCTTCATGGCCAAATCATTAAACGACTACAACTGGTTTTGGCTGCGGCCCATCTCTTCTGAACAGTCGAAGGATGCTGGGCTGGGAAGGTTTGTTTTCTTTGACTGACGGTTTTATTTAATTAACTTTCATATTCCAATCCTCTCTGCTCCTTAGACAGCTCTCCCCTTCCCCAAAATATATCGCAGTAAATGAGAACCATGTGGGATGTCTCAGCCAAGGAGCGCCCCTGGAAGCCTCACTCAGGTCCCCAGCACGAGGTATGGCTCTCCCAGGGCCCCGTGGAAGCTGGGGGTGATGCTGCCTTGGAGGTGAAGCCAAAATGCACCCAAGGGTGCTGGATGGCAGCCAGGTCCCACAGGAGGGTCACACCATGAGCGAGGGGAGGAAGGATGGATTTCGCCCTGCAGCTGGAGCTGGGATCCGGTTTGGCCCACCAGTGACACGAGTCCGCAGGGCTCAGCCTGGCTCCCGCCCAGATCACAGGGCCATTGTTTTGGGGGACAAACCCAAGCCAGCCTCTTCTGCTCTGGAATTTATCCTGCTTCCAGTATAAAACCTCAAGCCTGGAGATGACTTCTCCCCTTTAGCTTTACGACTGGCCCACGGCAGCCCTTTGCTCTGAACCCCTGGCTCCCCACAGCACCCAGGCTCCATGGGGATGTGCAGCATCCATGGCTGCCCTCATCCCTATAACAGCACCACATCCTGAGCCCTGGGGACGTGAATGGGGTGTCCTTGCACCCCACAGAGGAGCTCAGCATCCCTCCCTGTACAGGACAATGGCTGCCTGGGTTGCAGGAGCCCAACACCACCTCCAGCACCCTGAGGCAAGCAATGCCACCTCCAGCTCTACTAGGAAGGCATCACCCCATGAACCAATGGGATTTCCATGGCATTTTCTCCCCTCTTTCCCCTTAGATGCCTCTTCCCTCTGCTTGAGGACGTTGTTTCTCATCCCCCACTAGGTTCCCGGAGCCCACCATGCCTGCCTGTGCCACCAGGCTGGAGTTTCCCTGCAGCCTCTCACTCCTTCTGCGGCAGCCCCAAGGCTGCCCACGGGTGGATGATGGCCCCAGCGAAGACCAGAGGAGGGTCAGAGGGTCAACATCATCTTCCCGGAGCTTCTGCAGAGGGGATTTTTCCCAGAGGAGCAGCAGGGGTGTGCCCTTCCCCATCTGACAAGCCCAGCAAGCGGCTGTTGTGAAACACCCCATCTGTTTCAGCTTATCCGGAGGCAAATAAAGATCGGAGCGAGAAAATAAGACTCCAGTGTATATTTAGAAATGCTGGATTTGGTTAGCGCAGACCGAAGGCAGCGCAGGGCCTGGGATCGAGCAGCAATCGTTTATTCTAATGCCATTGCTTTGGTGTGAAGGAATCCGTTCTCCCGGGGAAAGGCAAACTCATCCCACCACGGGCCACCAGTGGGATCCAGACCCAGCGTCCCTCTCCCTGGCTGGGACCAGCTGCCACGTGGCCACAGCACAGGGGCTGCAGTGGGGCTGTGCCTGCTGAAGGCTGCAAACCTCTGTATCCCATCGGCTTGCTGAGGAGCTGTGCCTTCCCCTGTGAAAAAGTTTTGCTGCCTGGAGAAGGGATGGAGAGGAGGGGTGGCTTTCTTCATCAGCTTCCTTGGAATCCATGCTGACTGCTGGGACTGTTGGTGTGAAACTCAAAGAGTTCAGGGATGGAGCTGCATAGTCTGGGTGTATCCATCCACCGCAGGTTACAGATCAGAGCTGGGACTCATTCATCCCTCAGGAATCCTGGAAATCCCCAGGGCTTGCTAAGAAGATGCAGGAGCAACTGAAATCTGCTGCCAATCCCTCACATCCCACCTCTCCCCAGGTCCAGTGAGGGGGTCTGCAGGCCCAGCAGCATACTCCCAATGGCTGGGTAAGGCTCAGGGGGGAAGAAGAAGTGGTGGTGTGGCAGCTCTTCTGGGATTTCCACCAGCTCCCATCAGTCCTGCCACGCTGGGTCATGGTGAACTGGTGTTTTTCTTCCTGCTGCTCCAGTGGCTCTGGGCTGTCAGCTCCCTCAGGGACAGCCACCACACATGCTCGGTGGGGTGGTGGCATGGGGACATGGGGACACTGCCTGCTGCTCCAAGCCTCCCACATGGCACAGGGCTGTCCTGCCAGCTCAGCTGAAGGCAGTTCTGAGGGAAGGGCTGTTCGGGGCTGTAATGGGGTCAGACTGGGCACTTGCTGGCATGCTTGAGGCGCTCCCAGCTGGGAGGGTTTTTTTCCACGCCCTGAACTGAAGCAACTTGTAAACCCAGAGGGGTCCTGAGCGACGCAAGACACGGCTCAGCAGAGCAACACAGAGTGTGCTGAAGTCAGCAAGTTCCCACCAGCCCCCCCAGGCAGAACCTGCCTCCCACCTCCTTCCAGCACCGCTCGTCGAGAAAAAATGTCATAGACTGAACAGATTATAGAGTGTTGTCAAGGGAACGTGACAGCCACTGCAAGACGTACCCACAGGCACACACACAGCTACGTACGTATTAACCCACTGCACTCATTTCCTTCAAAATCCATGGAGGATTTCATGCAGGGCCTGAGGTCCCAATCTTTGTTTTGTCACCTGGGAGCTGATCCAATTCCCCCCTTGCCCATCCTCAATGCAAAACTCCTTCTGCCAACATCACAGCAATTCCTTGCTTTTTAGCACCAAGATGGGGCTCAGTTAAACTTAAACAATTAGGCTCTGAACACGAGAGATGTCTCATAAAAAAAACCCCACCAGCATTTCATGGAGCAATCACAGCAGTGCTGAGACCTTTACGATGCCTTTGTATGTCAGCCTGAACATGTGCCCCTTGTCCAGGCCTGGGGTCCTGGCTGCTCCTTCCATTCAAACAGAAAATACCCAAAGTCAGGAGTAAGGGAAGGAATTCTGAGAGAGAAGAGAGGAACGTGAAAGCTGAAGCTGGAGGGGGGAGAAGAGAGCAGCACACCTCTCCTCACGCGGTATTTGAAATGAAACAGCTACTTTGGGCTTGATTTTTTTTTTATGTCATAAATGCATTGCAGCTGAAGTCATCTGGAAACCAACAATGGCAACACCAAGTACTGGGGAAATAAAAACTTTGCAACCAGTTCTGGCCCTAGAACCCCCAGCTCTGCTCTGTGGCAGCACTGTGGATGGATCCCCTTCCGTGCCAGCGCCTCACCAGGATGCCAAGGTGGGTAAAGAAGCTGCTGGTTTGTTTCTGTGCTGGTTTTCCAGCTGGGATCTGAACTGGGCTGGAATCCTCCTGGTCTCTGCAGGACTATGCTCTCCTGATGCCCTCTGATCCTCACTCTCACCTTTGCAATGTGCCCAATATCCTGCCCAGGGTGAATTTCGGAGCACAGGACAAGAGATGCCCAAATGTTCAGAGCAAGCAACAGACCTGGCACCCAACTGCAGAGTTGCCTGCTCAGGAAACAGGTCACAGCTCATGCAGAGACTTGCAGGATGGCTCTGCATTGAGCTCTGGCAGATGAAAATACTGTGATTCCCTCTCTTTATTCCTCTTTTACACTGAAAAGATTTACGATTTGCTGCTGCTTCATTCCTTTTACAGTCCAGAAGGAGCGTACCTGGAGGGAATTTCAGCTTTGGGACACTCCCAGGAATAATCACCACTTCCCACAGCCAGGGGGAGGGAGGTTTGGTTTAACCAATGCCTACACAAAGCTCAAACCCCCTGGAGCCCCACGCAGACCCCACAGCACCAGGCCATGAGTGCATCACTGCTGGAGCCCGTGGGGCCGAGCCCTGCCTCCACTCTCCACCTTCCTCTGCTCTCAGCAGCACTGCTCTGGGATGCTACAGACCCTTTACCTCCAGGAAAGCATCTCCCAGAAATGAAGAAAGAGATATGAAGGGAGGGAATTCTGCCTGGAGCATCTTTGCTCTCTGACAGCGTAAGAGAGATGATTTTAGGTCTGATCTCTGCTCTCTTCACATGCTCCTCTTGGCTGCCAGCACGGACCAGAACCAACCCTGCTCCAGAAACAACATCCTCTGGGATGGACTCTGATTTCTCCCCAGAGCACCACCCTTTGCTCCCAGTGGAAAAGGGCAAAGCTGCCTGCAGCTGGGAACCTCCGGACCACAGAGGTTCAGCCTGTGCTGGGTGGGCTCTTCAGCAATAAATCTGCCATCACAACTAATTAATTAAAGGCACAGCAAGGGAGACACGTGAGCCCTCAGCCATCTGGGGCCAGGCAATCATCCTGGGATCTCTGTGTACAGCTGGGGCCAGGAAATCATCCCAGGGTCTCCGTGTACAAACAAAAGGAGAACTAAAGGCTGCTCACCCGCTTCGTTTCAGGCACCAGGTCATCCTTCATCCTCCGCTTGGTCCAATCCCTGGCGAGCTCATCCTCCGCTATCTCCTGGAGGTGAAAGACGGCGACTTGGGCCGACGTCCGACGGATGCGGCCACTCGGGGTCCTCTCGAAATCTTCCACGGGAGCAGGCTCCTGCTTCACCTCTGGCTCCTCCGGAGGCTGCAACAGACACAGAGTCAGCAAGGGCATGACAAGAGAACAGGCGAGCTCTCCGGCCCCAGCAGGAGAGCTCTCCTGCACCAGAGCACAGGAATGAAGGGAGCGCCCACCCCCTCAGCCCAGCAGCCAGCCATGAGATAGACCGACTGCGTCCCACGTGTATAAATGTCTCCAGTTATTAGAGTTAGGGAGTGATTAGTGTTGGATGCACTGTCAGGAGGGATCAACAGAACAGAAAGGGATGCTCCCCAGGGACAGATTCTGCCACCCCAGCGCTGGCAAGCAGCTGGTGCTTGTGAGGGAACGGCCTGAGCTCTGTTTTTTTTCCCTGCAGAGCACGGATGCAGGGTGGGCTGGAGCACAGCCCAGCGGGCACTGGGGAAAGGGAACACTGACGATCGCTCTGCTCCTGTTAACACAGCACCCTGCCTTTTGGGAGGGGCAGAGGGGCCTGCAGCCTGTTACCCCCCGACACTGCAGGGTACAACACACGCGTGTGGTGATGGGAGGGAGGAAACAACATCAGCCCGACGTCTGCACCTGCCTTGCCCGGCCCGGCCCTGCCCGGCTCTGTCCTGCCCACGGGCTCCGCAGCAGCTCTGCAGTCCCCCCCAGGGGGAGGTGGCCCAGCTCCTCGGGCTGCGGAGGCATCCGGGGGGCTCACCGAGGCCGCGTGTTCTGACCGCACATGGTAGTCGTGGCCAGCCTTGGATTTGTACTTCTTGCTGCAGTGTGGACAGCTGAAAACAGGCTTGTCAGCCTCGGTGAGCTGCTTCCCACACCGCTTCTGGTGGTACTGGTAACCCATCAGGCTGGAGAAGTTGGCCATGCAGCCCTACAGAGATGGGGAGAAGGGAAGGGTTAAGGAGGCCTGGGGCTTCACGTGCCCATTTCCAAAAGGCTGGGATGCCATTGCTCCAGGGAGGAATGTTCCTGAAGAGCCCACTCTTCAGCGCAGATTCACCAACCCATCCCATCTGAGTGACGGGGGATTTGACAGCCTCCAAAGAGACACAAAACTGTGCCCCGGACAGACGGGGGGAGCAGCCCCTGCCCCTCACACTCCCTGTCCCACCACATGGACAAAGCTCTCCAGACAGACACACGGTGGGCAGCGGGAGGGGAAGGCATTGGGGAGGCACTGCCTGCACAGAGAGCAAAGCATCCACAGGACAAAACTCTGCCACACACCCCCCTTACCTGTTCATGACTTGTCTGCAACCGGCTCGGCACCGTTTTCGGTGTGGTTTGCTTTGGTTTTATGCTGTGCCCGGGACAGCGCTGGCTGTGCCCCTTCCTGACTTCAGGAGGCAGAACCTGCCCTCCAGTGCTCCTCAGCCTGCCCTGTGCCCACCCTCCTGCCAGGCTGGCCTGTTGTCAGAGCACACAGAGCCAGGGGGATGGGGACTGGGATGGCTGAGCTAAGGTGGAGACGTTGAGTGTCTGCCAATGGATGCCTGGAGAGCGCGTGCCCCCCTGGAGAGAGCACGTCCCCCTCTACACGGGGCTCACTCCTTCCACCTCTTCATAGAACGAGAAACAGGAATTGTTCTCGTACCTCATTGGGGCATTTCAGTTTTCCCATCTGCTTTAGCACTTTCCTCAGCCTTTCCCGCTCTTCCTGTTCACCAAGTCCAGTGGTTTCCACAGGAACAGGCTGGAAACAAGGAAGTAACAGAAGCAACAGAGTCAACCATTTACTCATGTCCTCTGTGCCAGGAGTGGGTGGCAAACCCCTGCCTCTCAGGAGCTGCCTTGGGCCGGAGGGAACCTCTCCTTAGGAGAGCTGGATCTCCCACTGCTTCACTGTTATGTGCTGGATCTGCTCATGCTTTTCCTGTGTCTACACTCAAAGGGTCAGCTGAGAAACTCAAGAGCAGTTCCTGCATGGAGGATTCACCAGCCAGACTGAAGAGCAGGAGATTAAGGCACAGGTAAAAGACAAGTCACAACTGGTAAGCATGGGACATGTAGATATGTGGTTATGCCTTGCCTTGATATCCCAGAGATGCACATGACCAGATTTTTACAGCAGCATGTAAACCGGTGCCTACAAAATTTTATTCATGATAAATTTTGTGGCTGCTTCTCCCATGCACAGTGGAGAGCTAAAGACCAGATTTTGAGGTTCGTGCAAGGCAGAATCCACCAGTCCCAGATCTGCGGGCATGGTTTTGGAGGCAGAGCTTTGCCACTCAAAATCTGCCTCACCGTACTCACCGAATCTTCCCCCACACTGGGATCTGAAATCCTGGTTTATTTTTTCAGTCTTCTGCTCTACTTATCAAGATCAACACGAGCCTAACTCACTACTGGGGAAGGGAAAGCTTTGCTTGGCAGGGAAGAGGGAGGGACACTGTCTGGGCTGAGCAGTGTGTGAAAAGCTGCAGGGAAGGTGCTGTGATCCCTCCTTTACAAAGACCATGGAAAGAGGACTGCCAATGGCTTCACCTTCTGCATCTGCACGGAGAAACGAGGCACGAGACAAGCACAGCCCACCTCCCTTACCTTGCTGACGTGTTCAGCCATGGTGTGGTAATTCAGCCCAGCTTTAGACTTGAACTGCTTTTTGCAGTGCTGACACTTCAAGGCATCCTGCAGCTGAAGGAATTAAAGACACATCACCAGGGAGGCCACAGCTCACCGTTCATCCTTCCAAGGGCTGCTGCTGCCTGTGAATAACCTTGTGGGTGGCTGTTGCTGCAGCAGTACCCAGCGCTGGGACCCAGCAGTCAACGCAGCCTCTCAGACCCTTCCTGCAGGTCCGAGCTTTCTCTCTGTTGCGCTGCATATTGTTATCAAACCCATATGCCCCAACATTACACTTTGGATGTAGATTTAAAGCCTTACTGGCTGGAAACATCTGGACCTGGTGTCTTAGTCTTCCCGTTAAAGGGTTAGGAAAGAGAAGAAGCTTTGATCTACCAATATGTCAGAAGGGTGTGCTCTGCAGCCCTGTTAACTAAGTGCACTGCATGCCAGCATCATTCTTTCTGGGTGCCTGGGCTGCGTGAAATGACAGACACAATCTCAGCAGAATCCTTCCTGCCTCATACTGCTCTGCTGTTTGACCCAACTTGGCCTCTTGAGTGCCTTGGGGAGATGCACTATCTGCACACCCCGAGGTACAAGGGGCACTTGCAGAATGCATGGACAGATCTTGACTTTTGCTGGGGCAGGGACTAGAATTTACTGACTGAGGAGGTGAATGACAGGGAGACAGTGTCTGGATGGCTGTGGGCATTCCTGCTTCTCCCACCTGATGCTTCACCTTCACCACTTTATTTCCTTTCCAAAACCAAAGGAAAGAGGTGCACACTCCTCAGTGACAAGCAATGAACATAGAAACCAATTTTCACTTTTTATAAGAGTTTTGGGAGCCTGCACATCATTTTCCCATTACCAGTCATTAAAGCAGAGAGCAAAGCCCAGAGGGTGCCTGCACTCCAGGGTGGCTTCTGATGAGGATCACATGTGTCTGTAGCAGAGTGGCCTCACTGAGGACATGACACGGGTTCATCTCAGGGATGGAATGCTCCAAGCGGGACCTGTGCGTACACACCTGGAGCTTGGAGACTGTCCTGCCTGGGCTGGGATTCTGTGGAGCATCCCAGCTTCCAGAGCAGCACAGCCAGTCCCAGCAACACCCTCCCAGGAGGGTGACAACACTCCCTCCAAGGGCTAGAGCCCCAATTCCTTGGCTGAACACCCACTGGTTTATTCGCAGGGAAGATGCCACTGACTTCTCCAGCAGAGCTGTGCTCGGCAGGTCATCCAGCCTTGCATCCCACATGGAGCCAGCCTGGCTTGGGAGATGCTCCAGAAGGCAGGAGATGTGATCAGCAACAACCAAGATCCCCACTCTGCCGAGGCCAGGAGCATATCAGAGCAGGCAGGATTCTGCCCAGCATCGCTGTAGTGCAGGGTTTGAAAGGGAGAGCAGCCTCCCACTGCTATATAAATAGCGAAGCAAAGGCTGGGGAAGCATTTACAGAAAATGAATGTGGAATCAAAGCCCAGCCACATATTTTCAAAGCAGGAGGCATCAATCCCACGTCGGCTTTCCGTGGCGACGGTTCTGCACCGCACCAGGTGACGGATGAAGACGTAATCCTGCGCTCTGATGGATGGTGGTGTGGCAGAGAGACAATTTTTCACTGTACCATTAGTGAACTCCTGCCTCCTGACAGCCTGCCTGAGTACATCCAGGCTCAAAGTCTCCCCAAGATGTGCTCTCATGCAACCACAATTTATCTGACCTGCACAGCACACAGTGAAACCCCACAGCCAGGGCTCTGGAGGAGGCCATATCAGAGACAATCCCAACAATCCCTCCAGCCTGAAAACTATTTGTTTAGCTACTAGAAATACCTGACTCTGCTAGAGACACTGGGGCAAGAGGCCCAGACCACAGAGGGATTCAGGATTGCTGAGAATCAGTGTCCAAATCCCTCTGAACTGATGCAAGGCAGCCAGCAATCTGAACTTGACCAGCAAGTGTTTGATCAAACACAGCCCTGAACTCGTTTTAGGAGCAGCAACACACATTTATGAGTGGCACATGTACACATCCATTCCTCTCCAAAATCCACGTGTTTGACTGAATAAAGCAAGGCCTTACCTTCTGGCAGACATCCATGTGCTTTTTGAGCCCCACAATAGTTTTCCTGGTTATAACACTGCAGGTTGGACAGGAAACTTCCCCCTTCTCACTGATCTCCCGCTGCCACTGGTCCTCCGGGTTTGCTGGAAAGGGAGAGGAGCGACGTGTTACACCCAACCTGCCCAGGTTGCTGGGCAAAGGACAACCCTGCCTAAGCCTTGATTTGGTAAGCTGAAAAGCCCTGAAGTGGGGAAAGCTCCTGATGGTAAAAAACCATAGAGAAACACTCTCTCTCCCAGGAAGAGCCAAAACCAGACATAAACCACGCAGGCCCCTGCAGCTCTCCCTGCCCCATACTCCTGCAGCTGCCTGAGCAAACTGGGTCACTTCACATGGAGCTACCAGACCTGCTGACCTGGGAAAAGGAGGTTCACCTTTCCAACCCAGCTGGTATCCTGCACACTGAGAGTTAAACCAGGATAATGCCCCCAGCCACCTGATCTTGCCCTGCTTGCAGTAACTTCCCCCTGCCAAACAAAACAATTAGTGGGAGCAAAACAAAGGTGAGTGTCTCGGCTCCATCCGGACGTGTGCCTGGAAAACTTCCCTGGCAATCCTCTTCCCGGCAGACATGGAGGTAGCTAGGGGACTGCTGGCTTCCAGGCATCTGTTTATTTGAATGACTGTGGTCAGCTTAAAAAAAGCTTAAAATAAGAGATTCATGAGGCCAAAACCTGCTCCCAGGTCCAGGGTTCACGCCGCGTTCTCAGCAGAACAGTGCTGGGCTTCCAGCAAGGGAAGCCTGGGCTGAATAAAATCTGCCAAGTCTGTTTATTTGGATGCTCTTGCATGGCTGTGAGATCAGAGAGTTGCTTATTTGAATTTGAAAGCAGTGCAAGGCACTGCAGCTGTGTTTATCTTGCACATCCTGCGTTCCTCCTGCTGTCAGAGCTCCCAGGGAAAGCAAGCAACCTGTGCCTGGGATGTAGGCTGCACCTCGGAGAAGGCGTGATCGTTCCTAGAGTTATGCACTGCTGTCATTCACGGGGATGATGTTAGAAAAATGCCATCATCCCACATGCTGACCCAAACTGTGGTCACAGTGCAGCCAGGTGGAACTTGGCTCTCAACTCCCAGCACTTCCATCGTGTTGACCTGGCAGTGAAGCAAACGTAAGGTGCCCCTCAGGATGTAAACTGTGGCTGCATTAAACATTTTAGGAGCAGTGGCCGTTCCCACATCTGTGTGGCACTTCAAAAACGTGCTTCTATTTCTGATTTTGTCCTGCTTCTCCTGGCAAACCTGCTAGAAAACTGGCCCAGCAAACAACCCGGTGGGCCAGGAGGGGTGCAGGGATCAGGAGCTGCAGGTGAAGGTGGGGATGGCAGCATGAAGGTGGGGACCGAGCAGCGCACATGACAGCAGCTAAGCTGCACACAAAGCTGCTGCCTGTGCTTTGCACCCACCAGCCTCACCTGCTGGTAGGTGCACAGCAGTTTCCTTCTTCACAACAACTCCTGGAGATTTCTTTTTCAGCTCCTCCATACTGGTGTTTACCTCCAACTTCTTGGCTCGATGGGCTTTTGCCTTGTCCTCTGCTTTGACAAGACCTGTAGAGAAAGAGGATGCTTTTTCAGTACTTGCTTTAATACCTTCAGAGCGACTCACATTTAGCAGGTACAAACCCTCTACCTCTAACCCAGGGACACCGAGCTGGCTGTAGGTCCGCCAAGGGTGTATGTGTAGGATCGGGTCCATAATTGTGACAAGCAACACCCTCACAGCTTGTGGTGTTTTATAAACAGCATCATTTCCCCCAACCCAGCCAGTTTATGAATTAAGGAAACACCATGGCCAAGTGAGGTAGGAGGCCTCTAGCCAGGCAGACAGGCCAGGGAGGAGGGAATAGGGTGTTTTGCAAGAAACTGAAGGGGGAAACAAGAACAGCAAATTCAGGATAAAAGAGTGATGTTCCTGCTGATGCTCCTGCACTGGAAAAGCTGCTTAACTCCCCTGGATCCACTCCCCCAAATCCACGTGCAGTTCAGCCCTGTGCCTGTGCTTCCACAGAAGGTGCTGGAGGCAACATGGTGAGTGCCAGGGTCAGGTCCACACTTGCCCCACAAGGGTCCACATCCTCCCGAAAACCCAGGGTCTGAATGGAGACAGCACCCCATGATGGGCTGGGGCACCCTTGTCTTTGGGGAGCGATTGTCACATCGAACATGGGGGGGTCGTAGGCAAACATATACCCCATCTTCACTCTCCACCTCAGGCAGCAGGTCAAGGAGACACCTTGTTCTCCAGGAAACCACCGCAGACAATTCAGTCTATGGCAGTGCCTCTGTGGGGAAGTGAAAGGAAACAAGCCCAGACTTCCCAGGAGCCAGGGGAAAGGAAATCGCAGAGACCACATCCAGCCTGCTCGCCGGTGTTTAATTCCTTCAAAGCCATTAGTGCCTCTCCCCCGAGTGCCTCGTGCTGGAAGGTGCTGCCTCCCACAGTGCCTGGAAATCCGCTTTTTATTTCCCCAGCTGAACGCATTTCATAGCCAGACTAAATCTAGTTGCTTTCGTACCAGGGATGCTCCAGGATTTCCCTCTCCTTCCCAGCCCCGTTGTGTATATTTATGGAGCATGACCACAGTCCCACTTGCTCTTGCTTTGTCAGGCTAAAGCAGCCAATTCCTGAGTCTCCTCTCAGAAAACATCCCAGCAACACACGTCTCTTCTCCATTGGATTCATTCCCATCGATGTGGGCGACCAGCAGTGGGGATGGTGTCTGAGGGGCGGGTGCGTCACCAGCCTCACTATGCAGAAGAAATCCTTCCTGATGCCACTGGAAACACTGCGACATCCCAGGATGGTGGGACGATGATGAAACGATGTTTCTCATATCTCGCTTGTGTCAGCAGCTTGTTACTCTTGGGTTACAGCTGAACATTCCTGGATCCTTTCCTCTCTCTTGCCTCATTTCCCAGCGCCAGGATCCAGAACGGAGCAGACAGGGTTGTTATCAGTCCCAGTTCTGCTGCTGCCTTTCACTCTCTTCATGACACTCTTATGGTAAAAAACACCAACTCTCCAAGTGTGATATCCTCAGGCTCCGTCTGGCTCCATAACAGGGAGGGTTCTTGGAGAAGGGGTTTCCCTGCAATGCCCCAGGGAGAAGGTACAACCCTACAGCTGACCAGAGTTGTCCCTGTATTACCTTTCAGTCCAAATGTCCCCGAGATGGATGGCTGCTCCCCCGTAAACTTCTTAGGAGTTTTCTGTTTCCTTCCTGACTCAAAAGAGAGAAACAGAGAGAGAGATTTGGTCAAATAACTGTACTGCAGGGGGATTCATCAGTTCTGGGGCATGGAGTGAGCACACACTCTATGTCAAGAGTGGATCAGGATGAAGCACCCACCCACCAAACACCAACAGGTTGCTGCTTCCCACACCCCAAAACCAGGATAAATGTGTTATTTAGGGTGAGTTCAACGAGTGGAAGTGGTGGCTCTGTCTAGTGCCAAAAGCCACACAGTTTCCACACCTCAGCAGCCACAGTGGCTGTGGGGGTTTGCTTTGGTGCTGCAAGCACTGGAACCCCATGCCGTGAATGGGGACAACCATGGCAACAGAGTGAGATTCCTCACCCTGTTCCAGTCCTTCAGGGAAAACGGGTTTGCCAGAACCATCCTGCTTTAACCTGCCACACTCAGTGAGGACAGACAGGCTGCCATGGTAGCTTGCTATGCGGCCATGAATCCATTTCCAGTCTCACAGGTCCTAAAGGAATCTCTACCTCAGCTACAACCACGTTTTAACTCCCAGTAAAGCTGCAGGAAACTGGGGCCGAGGTCGGGGGGAAACTATCAGGATGTTAAATCAAGACTTGGATCTCTCATGGCCTCAGAGAGACACTCGCAGCAGCGTTGGCAGGAGCGGAGCCCCTTCCTGTGGGACGCTTCTTTGGGCTCCTGAGCCAGCGTAGCCCCAGGCTCTAATCTTACTGTGCTTCATCCTCTCGGGGTCTTCCTCCTGCAGTGAGGCCTGGCTGCCCCGCTGCTGCCCGGCCTCCTTCCCGCTCGAGGACTTGGCCGTGGGGGTGGCGGCCGCCATCGCCTCGGCTGCCGCGATCTGGAACTCCTTGCTCTCCCGGCTCTCCGCCAGGCACTCGCCATTCTCCGTGTGCTCCTGGGCCACAGCTTTTTCCGTCTTTGGCTGTTTGGGATGGATGGTGGGGCAAGCTGAACTCTCAGCAGCTCTAGGGCAAAGCACAGAGGGTTTTGTTTAAAGAGGGGTTGTTAAGACAAGTGTCCTGACACCTCTCCCCCCTCACCAGCCCAGGCCACAGGAACGGAGGCAGGCACGTTCCCCTTCTCCCAGCCATCCCCTATGCTACTGCCATGCAGCCCAGCCACGGCCTGGCACCTTTTCTTTCCACTGCTCTTCCCAATGGCCTTGGGCACTTTGTTTTCCGCTTTGCTGGTTGGCACTGGCCGATCCAAATGATTCCAGAGCCGATGCTTTTCCAGCTGGGTTTTGGAGGTGAAGGCAGCTTCACAGTACGAGCACGAGTACGTCAGCTTCTCCGAGATGGCACCCTGCACGGAGCAGGGAGAGGCAGGTCAGCAGGGATGTTAGACCATAAAAAAACCATTTTTTTTTCTGGTACAGTCCTGAACACAAACCCTGTGTAATACTCTTCTGCCCCTCCAAACAGTTAGCAAGGGTACACAATCCCTCTGGGCCAGACCTCACGCTGAGCTGCAGGGACCCCAGTCCCTCTTGTATGTACCTCACAAACTGCTCCTGGCCCATCTCTGCCCTCCCCATTTCCCCATTTTAACCTCACGTTTCTCCTGGGTTTTAAGGCCTGAGAGTGGCTTTGGCCTGCACCTAGTAATGGAAGAGCTGGCTACTGGAAAGGACAGGCAGTTCTATGGTCTCCTTACCCCTTGGCAGCGTTGATAGTGGTACTTCAAGCCATAAATGCTGGGGAACTCCAGCCAGCAGCCTGAATTGGGACATTTCACCCTGGAATGGGCTTTGAATTCATCCTTCCACTGATTCATCAGGGGGAGCTGGGAACAGGAGAGACAAGAGGCAGCTGAGTTCAGAGCTCCTGTGCCGGCTGTGCAACAGTGTATCCCCAAGGGGGCCTGGAGGGTACGTGGGACCTCTGACCATTCAGATCCAATCCCTTCCCACAACACAGCCACAAAGTGGACCCAGGAGTGTGTTTCAGTGCAGCAATGCTCCCAGTGAGAGGTGCTGAGATGGATGCTCCAGGCTCTACAGGCTAATGATTCCTCCCAGGGATTTACCTTGCTGTGCCTCCCAGAGCACACACACGCTCCCTGCCAGGCTGGGGAATAAATCAGGCCCAAAGTCGCCTGGGTGATTTAATCACCCCCACATTTCATCTAGTTCGTAAATCACCCCATGCCTGTGCTCTCATGACAAACTACTCTGTGTGTTGTCCATGCCACTGGGCAGGAATTAAACTGCACAACCCTGCAGGGAATAAATCACCCCTTTGCCACTGCTGTCAGATCATTAGCCAAATCTGACACGGTTGTGACAGGATCTGGCTCATCTGGGCATGGCCATGGGAAGGTGAGGCTGGAGGGGAGTACCATTCCCTAACCAGTGTTTTGGAGGATGCCTGCATTGAGGGGTTGAGGGGCCAAGATCTTGCTTAGCCCAAGACAAGGCTGCTCTGAAGATTAAACCACCAGGAAGGCAGGTTTAACCCCAGAGTGGGGCTGGCTGGAGTGTGCGGTGCAGGGCAAGTCAGAGGGATCGAAGGAGGGAGGGCATTGGGGAGGGGAGGGGTCTTACAGGGATGTCTTTCAGTGCCTGATTCTCAGCCTTGGGTCGTCCTTTCTTCCTGCCTTCAGTTTTGTCACCGGTCGCATTTTCTGCAAACAGACAGAGCACACATCACCAGCCGTGCCGGAGGAGCCGCTGTCCTGGCAATCGTGGTGCCCAGCCTCAGCCTCCCACTGCCCACCTCACTCCCTCAGCTCTAGGCTGCCATTCCTTGCCCTGGCAAGGATGGAGATTCCCCTCTGGAAGGCAAGGCCAGCTCCTCTGCAACTGAAGTGCTGATAAGATGCGGCGCAGGGAAAAACACTCTCCTGAACACAGGCGTGTTCATGCTGCGGACAGCTGGAGTTGATTCCCCTTAGCAATAAGTTATCCTCCTCTGCTAGTAATTATGGCTTCAATCCCCTCAAGGTAAGAGTGGCATCTGGGAAACATTTAGGGCGCACGCGTTTCCCCACAAGGCCACTGATTTTGGGAGCCTGGTCTGAGATATGTCGCTGGGGTCCAACTCTCTCTCGGGGGTGCAGGCACCCCACGGTGTCTGGGGCTGCTGTTAGCAAGATAAAGGCAGTGAGAGCCTCTTTCAGAGGGGCTCTGTCCAGAATAAACAGACAGAAGAAAAAAAAAAAAATCTCCTTGAGCCTGGAGATTCCTGGATAGAGAAATCAGCCATCCATCAGCGTGACAGCCCTTAGCGTGAGGGTCCCCCGGGGCTCGTACGCTCGCAAGCCTCCATCCCGGGGGCCGCGACACGGGAGGCAGCAGATGGTCTGAACTCATTTAAGCCTTTCCATCCTTTGATGTAACACTTAGCTACCAACACGATAAATAGGCGGCGAGACACCCATCTCGTTAAGCCAGACACACGCCTCTCCGAAGGGAGAGACCACCTCTATCCCTCCCCTCCTGCTCCCAAGGACCAGCTCCCTGCAGACCCCGGGGCCTGGGGCTTTTTTTGGCCAGCATAGCTCTTGTTGATGGGTCAAAGTGAGCAGCAGAGACACCCCAAGACACCCCTTTGTTTTGGCAGCCGCCCCCCAAACCCTGCTGCTGGGTTCATCCCCTCCACCCCATCTGCCTTCGCAGAAAGAACAAACCAGCTCCTTACCCAGCTTGGGCAGCTCTGCCGGTGGGTTTATCCTTGTCTCCGTCCTGCTTTCTTTGCTGGTAGCAGGTTTGTTAGAGCCTGCAGTTTTCCTTCCACCTTTGCAGGTATAGGAATCCGCCATCTCTGAAAGAAGCAGGGGAGGCGTTAAAATTCACTCCTCGGAGCTGGGAACAACACATGGTGAAAACAAGGAGAGCTGCTGGGGAGGGAGGGAAAGGAGCAAACTATCACGCAGCTTAAAGATTCCCACAAAGAGAAGAAACGGGACGTGCTTCCGAGTATTTGTTCTACGGTCAAGGAACGCCACAGACATGGCTGGAAAGCTGCTTTCACTACAGCCTGGCTTCCCCTCCACATACAACAGCAAAGACTTTATTAAAAATTATGGGCTGACTTTGCCCAGAGAAGTAGTGAATAAATGGCTTTTCCTCTTCGTTTATTTCTCTGCTTTCATTTAAGACACCAAAAGCAAAAAAAAAAAATAGTGAGTTTTAATGAACAGATGTGGTGATAAATTTCCAATTTTCCTTATTAATGGGAAACCGTTATAAACTGAGAATTGTTAATGTTATCTGAATTTTCTGTATTAATAATTCAATTTGCCTTCTCTATAAATAATGAACATCAGGAATTATCGCAGAAAGCCCACTCTCGCTCCTGAAGGAAGCGGGTGGCAAGACACCCCTCCGTTTGGTGGTGCCAGGAAGAAGCCCACGGAATGACTGCCTTTGTCTCTGGTTTCAAGTTCTTTCTTCCCTTCCCGACAGCACAAGCAAAGACACGTCAGAGGATGGGAGCTGCATTGGGAGATGCCACGTATGGATTTGGGGGAAAGAAGTCCTCCCCACCTTCACAGTGAGAGCATCAGGCCCGTGGGAAGCGATTCCCCAGACCACTACAGCCTTGAAACCTTGGCTGGGACGTGATGCTGATGCTCACCCACAGGCTTTTTCAAAACACGGATTTGAGTCGTCACTCCCAGTTCCTCCCACAAGATCGTGTTCAGCGTCCTTTAACTCAACAGAGTTGATTCCCAGAGCACCCATCATTCCACCTGTCCTCATGTCCAGAGGAACAGGGAAAGAATCTCCTGCATAGCCAGGTTGTCAGCCATGCCACCAACATGTGGGACTTGAGGGTCCAGCAGTTCTTCCCGAGGTGCCCCCAGGGACTTTTTGTTTGGGATTGGGGACCGCACATTGCACGCAGCCCACGTGCTCTGAGAAGAACTGGCAAAAGCTCGCCTGGTGACACGTATGTGGTTGGTTGCACGGGCACAAAGGTTAATCCGATCAAGTGAGAAATTCCAGCCTTGGCAACAGGTTCTGTGGCATTTGGTGCTGAACATGGGCATCGTTGATTCAGCTAATTTGGGCTCTTTCAGTGGGAGAGCTGGGTAGGAGCTGCAGCCTGACTGCCAGCGACTCCTTCCTGGAGCAGGCAAAGAGAGGGTTCCCTGTAGCCCCTTCCCAAACTGCTGCTCCACTCCCACCAATGTGGGCACTGCTACTGTCCCCAGTCCTGTCAGTCCCCTTCCTTCCCATGCTGCCTCCTGGCACCTCTGAGCAATCTTTGAGCAAGTTGCTCAAAGAAAAAAGGGGGAAAAAAAGAGACTCACAAAAGAGCAGAGAACTGAAAGCTGAAGACAAGATCTCTGTGCCCAAAACAGGTGAAAACCGAGGGGAAACCTGCCGAGCTGACACCTTTATCCATCCAGGGACACCTCTATCCAACCAGGCCTAGTGCCAAAATACAGTGGGTGATGGAGACAAAACCTCTGTGTCTACCTCGCTGGGCAGCTCAAAGTGACAGTGCAAGATGTGACAGGCAGGGCAGACCCTGTTGATGGCCCATCTCCTGCACCCCAAACACCCTGAGGCACCACTGAGCATCACATCAACACTCCCTTCCCAAAACATCCGAGGTGCCCAGCTCAGCCCTGCTTCAGCAGCTGGACACTTCTCATTCCCCTAAACACATCCATCCTCTCTGCCCAGCTTAAGAGATTCTGAATCTTTTGTTTTTCCACACCAAATACTTCTTTGAATTTTTCCCCTTCTTATTTTTTCATTAAAAGGAAAATAAAAATCCTATAAACCATTTAGCAAGAGCCAAACTCTGCTTCCCCGGCCACTGATACAACCCCAGGGATCACAGAGGAATTGTCCCAGAGACAGAGAGCAAAAACCAGCAAAAGCCATTGTGGGTTGGTTTTTTTTGTAATATCCAAACTTCTCACTCATTTTTGAGTTAACACACACCGAAATGGACCACAGCCTGTGCTCTTCCATGCTTTCCTTAAGGTTTTTCTCACCAAAACTGAGAATCCTTTCGCTGGTTAATGGGTAGAGAAGGTATTGGTACGTCCCAGCTGTTAGCAGGGCTGGGATATGGTGCGGGAAGGTTGGGACCAGCAGCATCTTACAAAGCCTCCAGCTCTTTTTAGGTAACTTTTTAGAAGTTTGTGGCAATATTTTTGAAGCACCCCAATCCAGCTCCACATAAAAAAACCCCTGTCAATACAGAAGCCAGCGTGGGATGAGTGGAGGTCAAGTTGGCACTGCTGGGAGCAAGGGTGAGGAGGAAACCCATGGCTGTGGGTAGGGGGAGTGAAGTTTGGGAACCAAAGGCACTGTTCCAAAGCCACCAGCAGCCCAGCCTGGCCAGCATGGCCATGAGCTTCTCTGTGGGATTTGACAAGGGACAGCCACATCCCAGCCAGTGGCAGTCCCAACAGGCTTTTTCCCACTGTGACAAATCCCTCCTGCAGAGCTGTCAGGCTTTGAGGGCTGGGCACAGCCTGAAAATTAGGCATAAAGCGGGAAAGCGGAAATAATTCCATGTAGAAACGCCTGCCTTTGGATCAGGCCCACAGGAGCACGCACGCAGCCAGGGATGGCTGCGATCCTCTCCCAGTCCCACAGCATCCTTACAGCTGCCAGGGGGAAAGTCACCCACGAGTCGTGACCGCAAGTCCTCCTGCCGAGACTCCCGCCCCAGTCCCATCCCCACAGATGCACCGTGCCATGCACCAACCGCCTAGTCACCCATCGATCCGCTCCACTTATCATCAATAATTTACCAACAGCTCCAGAGGCAGGGAATGACAAAAGGCAAGGGAGCTGATGCCCCAGCACAAGCCATGTGCCAGCAGGGATGCAACGAGGCCAGCGCAGACAACGGATGCCAAAGGGCACTGCCATTCCTGCCGCTGTCAGAGGAGTTGTGCTCTCTCCCATGAACTCCAGGCAGAACTGGAGCCTCTGGGAAAAACTTCCAGGGAATAAAGACAAGGAAGCGGGAGAGGCTTTCTCAGGAGGGAGTGGAATCGCCCTTGCTGGAGGTTTCCCCGGGAGCGAAGCACGTGGCAGGTGAAGCCCTGCGAGCCGCTGCCTCCCCGGGCACAGCTGAGGGCCGGGCAGCGCCGGAGGGACACGGTGAATCCCGTTCCCATCACCCACACCGAGTGACACCCCGAGGCTCTCCAGGAGGGAATCGCCTCACCCGCAGCCGCCACTCCTGCCGCACATGGCTGTGACCAAGCGCAGACGAGGTTTTTTGAGGGTATAAAGTTTCTCTTCGAGGCACACTATCGCGTCCGTCCCCTCTGTGTCCCCGGGCACCGGCACGAAGGAAAAAGAACCCGCACGTGTCTGGCAGACAATGAACCCTCCACCGTGCCGGGGGGACCGGGGTGTCCCCTGTCCCGGGGGTCAGTGGGCGTGAGGAGCTCTGCCCGGCGCCGCTGTCACCTCCGGGGCGCGGGAAGCTCTGCCCGGCGCCGCTGTCACCTCCGGGGGCGCGGGGACCTCTGTCCTGTCACCTCCCGCCCCCGGGCCCTGCCACCCGCGTCCCCTCACAGCCCCTCCCCGCTGTCACGACCGCCCGGGCCTGTCACCCCCCGGGCCCGCGCCCCATCCCCGGGAGGCGGCCGGGGCTCCCCCCGCGGGCCGGGCCCGGCGGGGCCGACACGGAGAGGGACGGGAGGGCCGGGCCCGGCCGGGCCGCGCTCCGGGAGGGGAAGAGCGAGCGGCAAAATGGCGACGCGGCGGGCGGAGCGGAGCGGAGCGGAGCGGGGCGCGGGGGGTCCCCGCCGCGGGGCCGGGCGGGCCGGGGGCCGCTCGGTGCTTACCTCGGCGGGCCGGGCCGCGGTGCGGGGCGCGCAGGGGTCGGCGCGCCCCCCGGCCGGCCAGGCGGTGCCGCCCGCCGCCCCCGGGCCGCCGTGCGGGGCTCCCGGCGCGCCCACACCCGCGGCGGCGCCGCGCTCCGCTGCCGCGCTCCCGCCCGCCCCTCGCCGCCGCCGCCGCGGCTCATGCGCGCTCCCCGCCCCGCCCGGCCCGGCCCGGCCCGCCCCGCGCCCCGCTCCGCCGCCGGCCCGCGCCGGCCTCGCCCGGCTCCGGCAGCGGCTCCGGCAGCGGCTCCGGCAGCGGCTCCGGCAGCGGCTCCGGCAGCGGCTCCGGCAGCGGGAGGGCGGGACGGGGCAGCGCTCCCCGGGCCGCCCTGACCTGCGCAGGTGCGGGCGGACCCCGGTGCGGGCAGGGCAGCGCTGCGCTGCCCGTGCGGGATGCGGGCAGGGTGCCGGCCTGCCGAGCCCTGCTCCGGGATGTCGCACCCTCCGGGGTGCAGGCAGTGAGCGTCCTGGCTGTCATCTGCCCCTCCGGGGTGTCCTGCCTGATGTCCTGCCCTCCAGTTTGTTGGCGGGATACCCTGCCCGTTATCCTGCTCTCCGGGGTGCAGGCAGGGTGACCTGCCCGTTATCCTCTCCTCCAGAGCATCCTGCCCATCATCCTGCCTTTCAGGGTGCTGGAAATGCCCTGCCTGTCGTCTTCCCCTCCAGGGTGTCCTGCCCATCATCCTGCCCTCCGAGGTGCAGGGAGGGTGCCCTCACCATCTCCATCAATCCATCTAACCCTGGGGTGCTCCAGGTTCCTTGTAAAGCCAATCCAGCCCCTGGGAATGATGCTGGGTGTGAGGCTGTCTCGATGCCCATGGGACATCACTGGACACTCTGCCTTTCCCAGCTCCCAGAGCCAGTGGCACCTGGGTAGGTACCACAGGGCAGAGCCAGCCTCGGTTAACTAGCACTGGGAATCCACAGCCGCACCAAGACTCACCAAAAACTCAGAAATGAGGGAAAACCACACAAATTTTGCCAGGTGAGAGCAAAACCCAGAGCAACCATTGCTGTTAGGGCCACCCTGCTTGACATCGCCAGCGCATGGCTTCTGTGGTGCCGCCAGGAATTGGGAGGTCCTGTGGCACCATCGTGCAAAAAAGCAAGCCCAACCCAAGTCGGGAGTTTCCCCGCGGTTTTCCCCTCTTTGTCTCCATTGTGGGGAAAGAGCTTAATTAATGTCTGCAGAGAGCAGGGAAAGCTTGCTGTAATTGCTAGGTATGATTATCGGTGGAGCGGAGGGTGCTCAGCGGGGTGGGAGGGACAGGCACAACCCACCTTCTTTGTATAAAATGAGGCATATCCGAGGCAGCTTCGCTTCCCAACCAGGGAGCTGCCTGCCCAGAAAGTTCAGCTGCCTGGAGGGGCTATCCCCCGGCTCCACATGCCCACTGGGACCAGGCAGCACCTTCGAGGTCTCCTCCTCACTGTGGACAGTGCCTATCACCCATCACTTGTTTCTGCAGCCTCCTGACAGCTGCTCCAGACACACGAGTGCAGAAAGTGCCACCATGTTAATATTCTGCATCTATAAAGCACAATTTTGCATCTCCAGGAATAGGATGAGAGTGAGGGGAGATGGGGTAGCCTGGCCACAGGGCAGGGGCAAGGGAGGGTGGCTGGCTGTGGGCTGGGTGAGGTAAGAAACTCTGAAATAACGTAGTTATGTTGCTATTTTCAGTCTCTGCTTAGCAGAGGGGGCCAAGAAATGGACTTGAAAAGAACAGCAAATGCTGAGCAGATGCTGAGGAGCGCTTTGTTTCACGTGCAGGGCTGTGATGGGATGGGCAGGAGGAGGAGGAAGAGCAGTGGGGGCAGCAGTGCTGCTTTTCTCTGTGTGCTCATGGGAAACCATCGCATCTCCTCTTGCATCATGGCATTGTTGCAGAGGTGGGTTGTGGATGAGAGCTCACGGTGTTGTGGAGGGGGCCAAACAGTGATTTCCCAGTGCTTTGGCCCTATTTGGGCCACCATTCCCGCCATTCCCACTGTTCCCACCGCTCAAGGCAGGAGGAGGCCAAGGAGCAGCAGCCCAGCAGAGACTGTGGCTGTAAATGCTGGAGAAGGTAGTTGGCAGCAGGGATGAAACAGTTCAAGCCACTGAGCATGTAAATTAAATTGATACGGACCCCAGGAAGAGGAGATAGGGGAAAAAACAATTACACAGCCAGGATCAGCGAGGTGCTGCCATCCTACACACACTCCTGACACTGCTTCTTCAGCCTCTTGTGCTGGTGTTGAACAGAAGATCTCCCTGGAGCTGCCCCATGTCTGCTGAGATGCAGCCAGTACAGTGACTCCCACCCTGACCCAGCAGCAATCTCAGGTACCCCTGACAAGAGTCAGTTCTGGCTTGTAAAGACCTGGCCAAAAATGAAGAAAAAACACCATCTTGCAGGAAAAAAATCTGATTTTCTGGATGCAGATCCTCACAGGATGTTGGGACCTAGGGGCAGGAATGTGCCCCTTGCCCAGAGTGGGACAGGCTGATGGGGCATTTACACTTTAAAAAGTAAC